GGCAGGGACACTGTTGCTGGGACACCGGCTTGATTGCTTAACTACTTTAAACTGTGCTCACAGTAAAAATGATCTGACACACCCACCGTGCTAGACTTTACACACCATGCGCCGGGAATCATGCTTCCCTGGTGCCTGGGCCCCCAGCACAGGGCAGGCCCCGGAAGCTCGCTGGTTGGGGGGTCAGAACTGATTTTCTTGCAGACAAGGACCTGCGCACCAAGGGCTTCAGCCTAGAGTCGTGCCGCAGCATGGTGAACCTCATGGATGTATCTTTTGCTTGTGTTTCCTGAGGCTGTTTTGGTTTGGGGGCGGGGGGGGGACGTGGTGAGGGAAGGACGCCCCGTGACCTCTCCCGGGAGCAGTGCAGAGAAAGGGACAAAACTCTGTCTAGTGTGGATGGACAGTTCTTTTCCTGGGCAACTTCCCATTGATTGGGAGGGGGAGACTGAGGCACGGGCTCTGTGTTGTGGAAGTTAGAGCAGGGCCTAGGTCCTTGAGTGACCTTAAGGCTGGTGCTTTTTGCACCCCTCCAAGCCCAACCCACCTGGCTGTGCAGGCTCCTGCCCCTTCCCCTTTTCTCTCATCTTGAGGTCAGTCTCCGTTTCTGCCTGGTTGCTCCTCACCCTGTGCCTGGTTTAAGCTTCTTTTTTTATTTTTTATTTATTTATTTTTAAGATTTTATTTATTTATTTGAGAGAGCGAGAGAGAGAGAGCGAGCACAAGCGGGGTGAGGGTCAGAGGGAGAAGCAGACTCCCTGCCGAGCAGGGAGCCGGATGCGGGACTCGATCCCGGGACTCGGGGATCCTGACCCGAGCTGAAAGCAGACGCTTAACCAGCTGAGCCACCACAGCGTTCCTGGTTTAAGCTTCTTAACAGTAGCACCCCAGCGGGACGGCAACGGGAAGCTGGGCCTGGTGGAGTTCAACATCCTGTGGAACCGCATCCGGAATTACCTGGTAGGTGGTCCGTGGTCCCTGTCGGCGCCCTCCCTCCGCTGCGGTTGCAGTCCCAGGAGGGGCCGGCTGCATGGTCCCTCCGCCCTGGGTCCGCCTCTCCAGATCCCAGCTCCTGGCCCAACTTTCAGGTCTTTCCCCTGCACCCTCAGCAAGCCCCCACCTGGGGGGTGGGGGGGATCGGAAGGGCTGGGTGACCCCCCTCGGCCTGGCCCTCACCCTCTGCTCCCTACTCCAGTCCATCTTCCGGAAGTTTGACTTGGACAAGTCGGGCAGCATGAGTGCCTACGAGATGCGGATGGCCATCGAGTCTGCAGGTAAGGCCGGAGGGCCGGAGGCTGATGGCCCCAGGCTGATTTCCTGCCAACGACCCAGGGTGGCAGGCCACCACCCTGCCCTTGTCCTTGGGGTGGTGACGGTGATGGGGTATGGCAATAACAGCCACCTTCTGACTTCTTCCCGTGGTGACTGAACTAAGTGCTTTATCAGCATTTCCTCTTGCCCTCGCTGCAGCCTAACTGGGAAAGGGTCTCTTACTATCTCCGCTGTACACAGAGGAAAGTAGGGCTCAGAGAGGGAAAGCCAGTAGCCTGCGGCCACACAGCCAGACACAGGTGGAGCTGGGATTCAGAGCCTCCAGTGAGAGAGGTGCATGTCAGGATGAGACCAGGGCTTTCCGCACAAATAAAACTGGGCCCCTGGGCCCTCCCCAGCCAGCTGATTCCCTGGGGCCATCGGACCCTGCTTGCCCAGCCCCTCCCAGCACTGGGCCCTACTCAGGAGGTCTTCAGGCCTCGAGCTGCAGGGCTCACCCCGCATACCCCCCAGTCCCCCTCCCTGGCCCGTGGGGCCAGACCACGCCTCCCTGGCCCTAACCCACTCTCCTGGGCCAGGCTTCAAGCTCAACAAGAAGCTGTATGAGCTCATTATCACCCGCTACTCTGAGCCAGACCTCGCCGTGGACTTCGACAACTTTGTGTGCTGCCTGGTGCGGCTGGAGACCATGTTCCGTGAGTGTCCCATCTGGCTCCTGCCGCTAGTTCTGTCTCCCGTCAGCCAGGGGGGAACGACAGGGAGACATAAGACACACGTGTCATGGCGTGTGCCAGAACGGCGAAGGTCTCTGCACTTGGGACCCTGAAGGCTGAGTGCCAGGAGTCTGGGGGAGTGGGGACCTGGCAGCAGGGGTGGCCTCAGGCAGCAGAAAGAGCTGTTTCCCCGGCAGCGACAGGTGAGGGCTTGGGGTGCTGTGGAGATGGGGGGGGGAAGGGCAGGGGGCAAGGTGGGTCCTGGTCCTGCGTGAGTGTCCCACTGAATTCTCAGTGCCAAAACATCTTCTTTGGAATGTAGGGTTTTTCAAAACTCTGGACACAGATCTGGATGGCGTCGTGACCTTTGACCTGTTTAAGGTGGGAACTTGCCTTGGCTGTGGCAGGGGAGGGTGTTTAGGGGTGATGGAGCTTTCTCACCTGCCTGTGGCGGGAGCCTGTGGCCTCAGACCCAGCTCCAAAGGCCAGGCCTCCTGAGTCCTGGAAGGATGGGGTGGGGTCGTCTGGGTCCTGGGAAGGGAGCAGGAAGGGAGGGCCAGGCTCCCCCGGAGGTCTCTGTGGGAGCCAGCACCCTGGTCTCCCAGGGTTATAGGAGGTAAGAAGGTGCCCTCCTCCCCCAGAGGGTTCCCTCCCACCTGCCCTCAGTGGGTGAAGCGACGGTGGCTTCTGGGCTGGGAGGCTGGACTTCACGCTTCTGCTGTCCCCGGCTGACCCGTCTCTCTGCCCCCTTCTGCAGTGGTTACAGCTGACCATGTTTGCATGAGGCAGGGGCTCAGGGCCCCCCGCTGTGTTCCTCTTCCCTCATCCGCCCAGCCATGCCTTCCCGCCGTGCCACACCAGCTGCAAGTGCCTTCCTCGGACCAGGAGGCGGCCTTGTCCTCCTGTCCCCTCACCTCCCAGCTGCCACAGTTCATCTGCTCTGCGGAGAGCTGTGTGGCCTTCCCTGCCTTCGCCAGCCCTGGGCTCGGATGGACTCCCCCGCCCCTCCCCTCGTCAAACGAGCAGCTTTCGCTGTTCCTGCCTCAGGATGGGGCTCCTGGGGGAGCTGACAGCCCCAGGCCTCCTGGCATCTCCCCATGTGTCCTCTCCCCTTGCTCCAGAGACCACCCACCTAGCCTAGCCACCTGGCCCCACCTGCGGACTGTAGAACATAACCACTAACTCTGCACAGTCTGCAATCCAGATGTGCAGGGCCCCTCCCAGCGGAGGCCTCCTCCTGAGGCTGGGAAGGCCCGTTCCTTCCTGTGCAGAAACCAGTGCCCCTCGCCTCCATGGCCTGCCCACCACCCCCACCCCCAGCCCTGCCCCACCTGCCAACCAGGAGTCGCCTGGACTGAGGGGTAGTCAGGTGCTCCCTCCCTCGCTCCCTCCTTTTTTATATTGGTGATTTTAAAGGGGACTCTTCAGGGACTGGTGTACCAGTAACAGGGGTGCCAGAGGCACCTGGGTGTGGGGTGGGGTGGGGTCTCACGTTTCCATGCCAAGAAACCCCCAACAATAAAGGAAAAGGCCCCACACCTGTCTCTGGAGTGTATTTCTGCCCAAAGCTGCTGCTCAGGAAGGCATCAGCAAGCCTTGACCTGCAGGGACAGCCCCGGGCCTCACACCACCCCTGCCCTGCCCTCTGGCTCCTTCCCTGAGGCCCTGGGGACTCACCCCTGCTGGAGTCCTGGGTATCTAGGAAGTTGGGGAGGATGGGGCCCCAGCTGCAGGGACAAGATCATACTGCTGAGGACCCATTGACCCCGCTGGTCCTATATGCCCCCCTCACAGCCCCAGAGGCCTGACCCCTGCCCTCCACGTACACTCTGACCCGGGGAGGCGCCGGCTGAAACCCGAACTCCTACTGAGCACAAACCTGACCCCCCAGGAAGCTCCCAGAACACAAGAGCCTCCTTCACCTAGACACCTGCAGCTTATGTAAGCTGCTCCAGCCCCCTGGGGTCCTGGCTTTTCTTACCAGAGATAAGAGTGGGTTGAGGTGAGGGTAGAAGAGCTAGAACAATGGGAAGAGGAGGGGGATGGGTGAGCCACAAACTAGGGCAGCGTCTGCAGGGCAGAGGCTGAGGGAGCCAAGGTTGGGGGTGGGGGCCGAAGAGAGAGCCCCAGGCGGCAGACTTCCCATACTGGACTCGCCACAGGCTGGCGCAGGGCCTGGACCCCCTGTCCTGAGCCTGCATTTTGCCCTCAGGCATCCTAGACCAGGTCCTGGGCCTTGGTGTCCTGTTACTAAGGAGAGTGCCCATCACTTTCTGGGAGTCTGGGCTGGGGTGTGAGGGGGCCAGGTGGAGGGCTGGGAGGCAGGGGCATGGATGGGCCCCACCCTCGTAGTTCTCTGTATTGGGCTTTTGTTTGATGAGCAGGTTGGAATAATGGTCTGGATGATCTGGCGGCCCCACCCTCTCACAGACACCCCCCTCCCCCCACCCCCACTGAGGCTGAGTGCCTGGGACGGAGGCAGGGAGACCTGGGCTTCCCCTTGGCTGCCCTGCTTGAGCATCTTTAAAGGACTCCACCCCACCCCACCCCAGTTTCTCCTGTGCAGGCTCTGACTTCTTGGTTCGGGCACAGGGACTGGGTGCCCTGTGCTGAGGCTGGATCGGGCTCTCGAAGATGCCTCACGATGGCCTCCCGAATACAGGGGAGGGTGATGATGGCGTCGCCGTGACTGGGGGGTTCCTGCTGGTGCAGGCAGGGCTTGGGCGGCTGGGCCTGCAGAACTGGGCGGTGCGCTGCAACGCGGCACTCTGGGAACCCTGGTTTTCTAACTGGGAGGGGAGGTGGAGCGAAATGAGGAGCAAGGCCCTGGAGGGAGGGGGAGCCCTGCAGGCAGGGGGACGCGCGAGGCCTCCTGTGAGGTGTAACCGGACCCCTCCGACCTGCCGGACGCAGGGTGTCTGCGGCCCTGACCCCGGGGCCTATTTCTCCACTTCCCGGGGCCCGGTCCTTCACATAAGGCCGCGGCAGGCTGGGCCATGGGCTGGGCCCGTGGCCATGGCCTTCACGGACCTGCTGGACAGCCTAGGTGGCGTGGGCCGCTTCCAGCTCGTCTGCACGGCCCTGCTGCTGCTGCCCTGTACCCTGCTGGCCTGTCACAACTTCCTGCAGAACCTCACGGCCGCTGTGCCCGGCCACCACTGCCGGGGCCCCGTCAACCACACCGTGGCCGCCACCAACCGCTTGGGGGGCTGGCTGAGGGCTACCGTACCCCTGGACCAGCTCGGGGCCCCCGAGCCATGCCGGCGCTTCACGGAGCCTCAGTGGGCCCTCCTGAGCCCCAACACGTCTGTCCACGGAGCGGCCACGGAGGGCTGCAAGGACGGCTGGGTCTATGACCGCAGCGTTTTCCTGTCCATCATCGTGATGGAGGTCAGCGGGGTGGGGGTGGGGGGCCTGGGTGGTGCTGGCGGGGGATGCTGCCCGAGGCCGAGGCTGGAGCGTGCCTCTCTCCCCCGTGCAGTGGGATCTGGTGTGTGAGGCCCGCCCCCTCTGCGACCTAGCTCAGTCCATCTACGTGGCCGGGGTGCTGGTGGGCGCCGCCGTGTTCGGCAGCCTCGCGGACAGGTGAGCCTTGGGGGAGGAGGGTCCCAGCCACCTGAGCCTCTTCATTTATCTTACTTTATTGACGTTGATTTGTATAGAGATAATTCATTCGCAGGGTTCACCATTCCAGAAGGTGTGGGAGAGTCTGCAGGGAAGCGTCCCTTTCCCACTCCTGCCCCACTGCCCGGGGATTTCTAGAGGGCAGCCTGGTTTCTGTGTCTCTTACCAGAGGTTTTATGATTTTATGTCATCCAAGCCAACAGGGACATATGCTCTGTCCCACTTTTGTCTTACAAATGCTGGCGCACCCGACGTGTGCTTCTGGACCTGGCTTTTACTTCCCTTCGAGGCCGCTGCATGTTCCTTTAGAAAGAGCTTTCTGGTCCTCCCTACCGTCCCTGCTGAATTCTACTGTTTGGGCGACCAGAACTGAGCAGAACGGCCCCTGAGTAGAGCCGGCAGCCCTTCTAGAGAGACCCCGGGAAACCCAACATGGCGCTAGGCTCCAATGGAGTCGGCTCCACACCTCCTCTGTCCTATTTCCCCTGCCTTCCAGCTCGTCCTCCCCTTCTCCCTGCCAGTTCTGGGGGGCTCTCCGGCACCCTGGAGCGTGGACTGCCCCCCAACCCCGTGCTGCATGCCTCAGACCCCTCATGGGCAGCTCCGTCATGACCCTGGTCATACTGTGTCACAACACAACCTGGCCTTCCCGTGGACGAGCTTGTCTCTTATCCATGGTGTCGAGTTTGTCACCAGCCCCCAGTGCAGGACGGTTTCCTAGAGGTGGTCGAGGCATGTTTGTGTCAGAGAATGAATGAGTGAACAAATGAGTGGATCCCGGGATGGGCAGTGTGTGGCCCCCTTCCTGGCCTGCTGCCCTCCCAGCCACGCTAGGGCTCTGGCCCTGGACCCTCACAAATGGGGCAGTGCCAAGGCCAGACTGGGTTAACTCTGCTACCCTGAACCCTGACCTTCGACCCCTTTATGGTGTGGCAAGCCCCCGCCCCACCCTAACCTCCCCAGCATGACCAGTTCAAATGAAGACTTGATGTTGGGGTCCTGCTCCCACTGGCCCGTGAGTCCTGGTGTGAGGCCTCCGTCCAGCCGGAAGTTCACTCAGGGGACCCTCTGACCACAAGCCCCGAAGATTAGGAGCTGGGTTGCGGGGCCAGAAATACTCGAGTGAAGGAACAGAAGAGAAAAGACGTCTCTTCGGGTCCGGTTTTCCCTCCCCGACCAACCTCGGCTGCCACTCCCTGGGTCCCAGCGGACGTGCCTGGTTCCGTTACGGGGGACTGGCCTGGGAGGCAGCTTCCTCTTGCCCTCCCTCGGCAACCCCCACAAGGGATGCAGCTGCTGCCTCCGGAGGCTAACCCTGTGCCCGGCGCCCGGCTCAGGTTGGGCCGCAAGGGCCCTCTGGTCTGGTCGTACCTGCAGTTGGCGGTTTCGGGGGCGGCCACAGCCTACTTTGGCTCCTTCAGTGCCTACTGCGTCTTCCGGTTCCTGATGGGCATGACCTTCTCCGGCATCATCCTCAACTCCCTCTCCCTGGGTGAGTCCAGCCAAGGAGGGGCCTAGAGGGGAGGAGGGCTAGCGGAAGTGGGGATGGCGCCCTATTAGTGGATGTCCTACCTGTTGTGTGGTGCTGGGATTCTCGTCCAGTGACTTCCACTCAGAGCCCCCACCCCAGGGTTCTTGGGCGACCTGGGCTCTCAGCCATGGCCCTGCCGGCAATGAGCCGTGGACCCTGGGTTGGGATGTGCCCATCTGTATGCTGAGAGGGTTGGGTTATTTCCTGTGTGCGATGGTCCACAATAACCATTCAGCAAACACCTACTGTATGCCACGCCCCATGTGGGCTCAGTGTGGGGACACAGAAGGGAGCTGAGACACAGTGGTCCCCGAGGCTGCAGGTAGTCCTAAGATTATGTGGCTCCAAAAAGGAGCAGGGCTCACCCGGGCTGCAAAGGTGGTGACTCCTTAGCGCCATGGTGGAGACCTGGCCCCTTGGAAGCCAGGTGGGAATGTCTCCCACTCCCAAAGTGACAGGGTCAGTCCTCACCGGAGGCTGGTTTCAGGCATCGGCTGGAAGCTCCAGCATGGAGCACTGGTAGGCAGTGGAAAGCTCACGGTGCACACAGGCCTGCCACCTGCTTGTGCTGATGGCTTAGTTTGCACCTGGGACACTACCAGGCTCAGGGAGGGTCTGAGGGATCCAGAGACTGCTGCCAAAGACGGAATGGGTCTTTCTTTTCAGGGATGGGGAGGACACCTTAGGGCTAGAGAGCCAGGATGTACCAGGCTGGCACACCTGACATCCCCCTCCCTGAATCAGGACACTGAAGCTTGTTGATCTCACGCACGATCCCGGCAAATCCCAGCCCACTCACCTCAGCCTCCAGGCTGGGCGTCCAGCCGCAGCTCATGGGATCGGAAGGCAGGAACAGACGTGCACGGGCCATCTCGTGCTAGAGTTACCTCTATGACACTCACACCCCTACATACACACATACACTCCTACCTACAAACACCCCGGCGCACACCTACTACTAGAACTACTACTATGTACCAGATGCGGCTCTAAGCACCAGAGATGGAGTAATGTACAAAGCAGATCTCTGCTCCCATGGAGCCTGTGCTCTGCAGAGGAGGAAAGACAGCCACATGAATAGCGGACCATGTAGTATGTTGGACGGGGATAAATGCTGCAGAGGAAACTGAAGTCCAGAAAGGGGATAAGCAAGCAGGGAGTGGGGGGTGCGGAGTGGCCAGGGGAAGTCCTCACCGAGCAGAGCTTGCTGGAGGGAGGGAGGGCGCCCCGCGGCTATCTGGGGGAAGAACACTGCAGGCAAAGGCCCTGATGGGGTGTGTGTTTCTAGTGGGCTCAAGAGGAAGGGGTTCATTTTTTTTTTTTAAGATTTTATTTATTTATTTGACAGGGGAAGGGGGGAGAGCGCACAATCAGGGGAGAGGCAGGCAGAGGGAGAAGCAGGCTCCCCACTGAGCAGGGAGCCCGATGCAGGACTCGATCCCAGGACCCTGGGATCATGACCTGAGCTGAAGGCTGACGCTTAACCGACTGAGCTACCCGGGCGTCCTGAGGAGGGGGTTCTTGTGGCTGGAGCAGAGCACAGGGTGGGAAGCGGGGAGGGGAGTGGTGACAGATGAGTTGGGGGTGCAGATCCTTAGCCCCTGTGACCGCTTACAGACTTTGGCTTTGACTCTGAGCAAGACAGGAGCTACTGGAGGATCCCAAGCTGAGGAGAGGCCTGACCTGATCTGACTTAGCATTTGCCAGGGTCCCTGTGGAGGCCGGTTCCACGGCTCCTGCCATCACCAGCCAGCTGCAGACTGGTTCGGGCGGGGGTAGCAGGAAGAGGCAGGAAGGGCTCGACTAGGTTCTGCTGGTAGAAGCAGCAGGATTTGCTGATGGACTGGACACACGAGCTGGCTGCTCATGGGAAAGAAGTGTCCTCGTTAATGGCTACAGTTGCCTTTTAAGCCTGTGCATGATTTGGTTTTTTTGTTTTTAAGATTTTTTTATTTATTCATTTGAGAGACAGATACAGAGAGAGAGCATGAGCAGGGGGAGAGGCAGAGGGAGAGGGAGAAGCAGACTTCCTGCCGAGCAGGGAGCCCGATGTGGGACTCGATCCCAGGACCCAGAGATCATGACCTGAGCCGAAGGCAGGCGCTCAACCATCTGAGCCACCCAGGCGCCCCAAGTGTGCATGATTTGTTAATCAGTCCCCCAAGCATGGACAGCTAGGTTGTTTCCAAGTTTTGCTATTTACAAAAAAAGTCTTGTAATTAAGAGCCATTGTATTTCCTTTCCTACCAACCATTTACATGTTTTGCCTGTTTTTTTGTGGGTTTTTTCTTTTCTTTTTTTTTTTTTTGCCTTTTGGTCATTTTCCTATAGATATGTAAGAATCCTTCCAATATTAGGGAAATTCACCCTTTCTCTATAATTTGAGTTGCAAATTTTTTGTTTGACTGTTTTCGCTGACATTATGACTTGACTTATGGTGTTTGCTTTTTTTATTGTTGTTAAAGCCAGTCAAGGTGTTCGTTCTTATACGCACTCTAATTTTTATAAAGTCAAGATTGTTGTTCTTCCCTTTTATTGCTTCTGAGTTTTGTGGCATTCTTAGAAAAGACTTTCCTGACTCTAAGATTGAAAAAAAAAGTTGCCATGATTTTTTTCTAACGTTCTTGTGGTTTTATTGGTTATATTTAGTTCTTTGGTGCACCCCTGGCTCAGGAAACCTCTGGAAAAATTTCAAGTGGCCACAGAGTCGCCATGAAAGGCACAGGTGGATTAGACAACCATGGGGGCTGTGAGTCCTACTGATCCTGTCCTGATTCTCTCTGCAGTCGTGGAGTGGATGCCCACCCGGGGCCGGACCGTGGCGGGGGTCTTGCTGGGGTACTCCTTCACCCTGGGTCAGCTCATCCTGGCCGGAGTGGCATACCTGATCCGCCCCTGGCGGTGGTTGCAGTTTGCTATCTCTGTTCCTTTCCTCATCTTCTTCCTCTATTCTTGGTACGTCCCGACAGAGAGGGGGGTGGGTGGGTGCACCCATGTGACTGAGCCCCACCTGTGACAGTCTGTGGCTATGCAGTGACTGGGACTTGCTGGACATGGTGGGGACTCGAAAGAGGGTCGATGCTTGTGGGGACCATGGGCTCACGGGTACTGCCCATGGCTGTTGGGAAGCTCCCATAAAATCCCTCACATTAGTGTAGGGCTCCAGAACGTTCGAGTGGTTTTGCCTCATCAGTTCCTTTGCAACTCACAACAGGAGGGGAACTGAGGCACAGCCCAGGGAGGGCCCCTGTTATTCAAGCCACACAGCAGCGTCAGAACCAGATTCAAAACTGGATCTGTGAACATTTCTAAGTGCCCTTTAGCAGTTCGCTGTCTGCTGTGCTTTGGGAAAGGGAAGCTGGCGTGTCCCCCCGTCTTCCCGAGTCTGCAGGCAGCAGGAAAGGGAAGGAAAGTGTACTTGGGTTTGGAGAATGGAAGGAGCTCTACTCACCCCTGCCATCCTTCATCCTCCTTTCGGTCCCAGGTGGCTGCCAGAGTCATCCCGGTGGCTCCTCCTCCATGGCAAGTCGCACCTAGCTGTGGAGAACCTGCGGAAGGTGGCCGTTATGAATGGGAGAACAGAGGAAGGGGAGAGGCTGACCACAGAGGTAGGCGGCATGGGTGGAAGAAAGGGGAGGGACCGTTTTTAGTCTGGCTGGTGGCCTCAAGATGTGCCGGGACTCAGTAGCTTGCCAGGAGCCACCCACCACCCAGGGGAGGAGGCTGGGAATAAATAGAGAAGGAAGAGTTCCGGTGAGGCGAAAAGGTGAATGGCTGTGTGATCTGAGAGCGATAACTTAACGGCTTTGTTCATCAGTCCACCCATCTATGCCGTGGGGAAATAACCCCATTCACATTGACACCTCGCCGAAATTTAAATAAAATAAGAAAATAAAGTGAAAATATTAAAGTAGAAGTCATAAAATGAAATTATCAAAGAACCAATAATAAAAGTACCCTTAACGATAAATACCAGCATAAGATAATTACCATTTGTTTTTTTTGTTTTTTTTTTTTAGATTTTATTTATTTATTTGAGAGAGAGAGAATGAGAGAGAGCATGAGAGGGAGGAGGGTCAGAGGGAGAAGCAGACTCCCTGCCGAGCAGGAAGCCCGATGCGGGACTCGATCCTGGGACTCCAGGATCATGACCTGAGCTGAAGGCAGTCGCTTAACCAACTGAGCCACCCAGGCGCCCAAGATAATTACCATTTGTAAGATAGTTACCATTCATTATAAATACGTACGGTTTCTCAAGCCCCGTGTTGGCACTCTGCTAAGGGCTTTATGTACATAATCTCATTTAATGTGTTACTTTTGGGGGGCGCCTGGGTGGCTCAGTCGGTTAAGCGTCTGCCTGCGGCTCAGGTCATGATCCCAGGGTCCTGGGATCGAGCCCCGCATCGGGCTCCCTGCTCCACGGAAAGCCTGCTTCTCCCTCTCCCACTCCTACTGCTTGTGTTCCCTCTCTGGCTGTGTCTCTCTCTGTCAAATGAATAAATAAAATCTTAAAAAAAAAAAAATCCCCAAAAAAAAAAATGGTACTTTTGTGGTTGAGGAAACTGAAGTTTGAATGGGCCAGGTCATTTGCCTAAGAACACACAGTGGGAAGTGGCAGAACCACTCAGAACCCCTGCCCTTAACCACTGCCCAAGCCTATCTCAGAGTCTCTACCAGGGGTGAGGTGTGAGGGTCCCTCGAGAACCACAGGTGTCAATTTCAGCCTAATCAGCCTGCAGCTCAGGAGCCTTGGGACTCACATTGGAGCCTCTGCTTCATCCCGAAGCTCTGGAAACAATCTGTTGAGAGCCATCAGTCCCAGCATGCAGAGACTAGAACCAGCCACCTTGCTGGGGACCTCAACTTTGACCTTCCTCTCCACAGATAAAGGGACTCCTCGCAGGAAAATAGGGTCCCAGATCCTTCCCTTCTGCTAATCAAACTTCCCTTGTCCAGGTGGTGAGCTCCTACATCCAGAGTGAGATGCAAATGTGCACACCTCCAACTTCATCTTCGACCTTTTCCGAACCCCGGCCATCCGAAAGGTCACGTGCTGTCTCATGGTGGTCTGGTAGGTGATATGCTTGCACCCAAGTCTTTGACCTGAGGCAGGGACACACCTTTTATCCCCACTCCAAACTCTGTTCTCAAATGCATTGAGCAGGTGAGCCTTGTGAATTCAATTTTGTTCCCTACTCTTTGTCTAGGGTCCTCTGGCCCTCTGCTTGGCGCTGAGATGTGGTCATAGATGAGACATCTGTGCCGACCTAGGGACCCCACATCTGGACAGTGGGTCTCACCTTGGTGGGGGCGGTGCCCATTGGAATCACCCACGCAGCTTTTCCAAAATGTACCTTGTCCCATCCTGATAGGCCCTTGGGGCTCTCCAGGAGATTCTGGGAAGTGTCCCACCCTGGAGAAACACTTGTGGGTCAGAAAGGGACAGACAAGGAAATGATAATGTCTATGAGGTATGACAAGTGTCCCTATAGCAGTTCTCCTGATTGGGGCTGCCGAGGGCTTCATGCAGGAGACGGCATCCACGTGGATTTTACAAAAATGGTTGTGGCGTTTGCCAGGGGACCAGGAAGGGATTCATAGCAGCTCACATAGATAAACATGAAGTGTAAAATGGCTAAAACCACAAGGGCAATCCATTCCCATTAGCACAGACTGGCAGCTGGCAAATCCTAAGGTAAGGAACTGATTTAGAAAGGGGGTAGGGAGCCATTTTAATTGTGCTTGACAGGATGTCCTAGATATGTAAAGGGTAAGGGTTGGTATTTGTGAAGTAGGGAACACAGGCAATGAGTGATCTGTTCTCTGGAGAAGACCCAGCCCTTTTGTTTTGTGGTTACTGGCCAGGCTGTGGTGGAAGACCAGACTACCTGGGTGACCTTGAGCAAGTCAGCCAGCCTCCTGGTGCCCCAATTTCCGGCTTATATATCTACCCCTAAGGTCCTTTTGAGAACTAAATGTTTAGACATGTAACCCCCCACCTGGCCAGGGTAAGTGCTTGGATAGAGTCTATTCTCTGATTTAAGTTCAGAGCTGTGTTCCCTGAGCCCTGGAAATGTGGGATTGTCCACCACCCTGGACCTTTAGAGGGCTTCTGCCCTGGGCAGCCAGAGAGCTCCTCAGAACCCAAATCAGGGAGGTGATGCTCTACCCCTGCTGGCCCACCCCTACTTCGCTGTCCTCTTCCCACTGGGAAGAAACATCATGAATTGAAAATTCCAGGGTTGAAAGTCCCCTCTTGGATCCTTCTGGAAAAAATAAGCTCAAGCCCATTTCTGTTCAAAGGAAGTAATTCAGGCAGCTAGTGACTGGGTCACCCAGATGGAGTTTCTGCCGGCAGGTGGGGAGATTTGGGAGGAAGAGGAAGGGTGAGGAACTGGTGGACTTTCACAAGCTTCTGTTGTAAATGCCTTCCGTAAACTTGGATTTCTTTTTCTCTACTGGTTTGTTGTTATTTTTTTTTCCCCTAAATTACAAAAGCACTGCATACTCATTGGGAAAAAAAAAAAATGTTTTTCCAAACAACCCAGAAACATATAGGCAGGATATTGTATTGGTTGCGAGGCAGGACTCAACTGTAGTTTAATTTAAAAAAACAAGACAAGGGGCGCCTGCGTGGCTCAGTCCTTAAGCGTCTGCCTTCGGCTCAGGTCATGGTCCCAAGGTCCTGGGATCGAGCCCCGCGTCGGGCTCCCTGCTCGGCAGGAAACCTGCTTCTCCCTCTCACACTCCCCCTGCTTGTGTTCCCTCTCTCGCTGTCTCTCTCTCTTTCTGTCAAATAGATAAATAAAATCTTTAAAAATACATAAAAAATTAAAAATTAAAAAAACAAGACGAAATAAAAGGCAGGACTCTGGAACCCGACTGCTTGGATTTGAATCCCAGCTCTGCCACTTATCTGCCACAGCTCTGTCTCCATGGTCTTGGGTGAGTTACTTAACCTCTGTAACATTGGTATAATAGTACCTACCACATAGGGCGGTTGTGAAGATTAGAAGCATTCATGTATGTGAAGCCAATAGAACAGTATCTGACACTTAGTAAACTCAAGATGCGTACCTGTTATCACTGGATGAGAGGAAAGCGAATGCTCCTTCTCTCACTCTGCTCCCCTCCACCCCCCAGCAGCAAGCCCTGCCAAGCATGAGTCTGTACCCTTCCAGACCTTTGTACACACAAGACACACACATGTATTCTTACAAAAATGGGTTAATACCATACATATCTGCTACTTGCTTCTAATAACTTAACCATATCTGTAAATATCTTTACAGTGTTACATGAATCCAGACCTGTCTAGGGTCAATAAGAATTACTGTATCACCTTTCTAGAAGTGTCTTCTCTTTTTCTCCATCTCCCCTGACTCACATAGCTGGGGATAGGTGGGAGGGATGGTAGGCGTTTCTCAGTAAGTGCTAAGGGGGCAGAGGCCGGGGTCTTACTTGGAGAGAGCCCCCTGCCAAATTCCATTTTTCCACTTCCCCTCCCCAAGATGTTCCAGAGCCTATGTCAACATATGGTCTCGCAGGGAAACAAAACCAGTCCAACGTGCTGGGGTTCATGAGGGCCAGTCCCATGCTTTTGTTGTTACGTGGGTAAATGACACATAAAAGAAAGTTCAACATCATACTTCTTCCTTCTGAAGGCTGAGTAGTTACCTGCAACCACCACATGCTCTTTATCCATCCATCCATCCATCCATCCATCCATCCATCCATCCTTCGGTCGCAGCTTGGGGTTGCTTCCATCTTCCTGCTCTTGTGAATAATGCTGCTATGAACACGGATGTACAAATATCTCTTTGAGACACTGCCTCAGAGACATTTTAAATTTCTCTGGAGACCCCCCCCCCCCGGTGTGGGAACTCCAGACCTTTGCCGTCAGATTGACCGTAAACCCCCCTTGGCAGAAGCAGACATCTGTAGGTGTAGATTTCTCAGTAAACATTGAGAGACACTGTGAGGGTCCAGTGGGGTCTTTGCCTGGTTGGACGCCTCTCGTTTTCTCCTTCCAGCTTTTAGTTGTGAAGCTCAGACCAGCCACTGAAGGTGGAGGTGGAGGGGCTGGAGCAGTGCAGATAGGGGAAAACAGGAAAACACTCACACTCCAGAGCCCACGGACTTGACTTGGGGAGCAGGTGGTTAAGCAGGGACATGGAGGGAGGAGCCTGGGCTCTAAGACCCAAGTCAGAGACTTGGATTTGGTGAAGGGGAAAGGGGGGTGGGTTAAATTCAGGGAATTTAATGCCCTGACAATGGCGTCCTGTGTCATTCATCCTGTGTACCGTTCCCTGGGTCCAGAACAGTGAACCCTGGGCCATAGCAGGACCATTCTGCTGCCTCTTCCAGGTTCTCCAACTCCATGGCTTACTAAGGGCTGGCCATGGACCTGCAGAAGTTTGGACTCAGTGAATACCTGGTGCAGATCCTGTTCGGAGCCATAGACATCCCGGCCATGCTAGTGGCCACCACCACCATGATATATGTGGGCCGCCGGGCCACCGTGGCCTCCTTCCTCATTCTGGCTGGGCTCATGGTGATCGTGAACATGTTTGTGCCGGAAGGTGAGCCATGTGCTTCTGCCATGACCGCCCAGGAGCCTCTGGGGTCTGGGGTCTGGTGGGCAATGACTACAGCAAAGGAACAGGCTGAGGGATGTTCTTCTGGATCTGGAGAGGAAGTGACTGTCCATTAGCAGAGTTTTTACTACGCACTCAGTGCCATGGCGGAGAATTGGCAAAGACCCCAGAGCACTTACCATCTTGTCAGGGAGATCAGGTTGATGACCTTTGAAATTCCCAATGCCCAGGGGCTCCAGGCCAATGTCAGCAGTGTCAAGGAATGGTACCCAACTGTAGGTATTTAAAGAACAGTCCAGTGATTCCAGCAAGAAGCCGGGGTTGAGTTTCAGAGTCCTAGAGCTTGTGTGAAGCCAAGGGCACATGGCCTTGGGCAGTTTGTCTGATTTCTCCGGGCTTTATCACCTTCCTGTAAAATGGATAGGTTATTTCTATTGGTATTTTGACATATTTTCTTCCAGTCTTTTTTCCTTTTTGTAGATTTTGTATTTGACATAATTGAGATAATATTATATATGTACATATATATAAAAATGGGATTATATATGTATATATGTGTTATCTTATTTATACATATAAGATATATCCTATTTCACTATGTGTTATAACATAAATATGCTTTTTCATGTTATTTATTTATTTTTATTGTTATTATTTTTAAAGATTTTGTTCATTCACTTGAGTGAGAGAGAATGGGAATGCATAGCAGGGGAGGGGCGGAGAGGGAGGGAGAAAGAGACTCCCTGCTGAGTGCGGTCGACCCCAGGACCCTGAGATCATGACCTGAGCTGAAGTTAGATGCTCAACCAACTGAGCTACCCAGGATCCCCTATTTATTTATTTATTTATTTATTTATTTATTTTTAAAGATTTTATTTATTTATCTGAGACAGAGAGAACATGAGAGGGGGGAGGGTCAGAGGGAGAAGCAGACTCCCTGCCGAGCAGGGAGCCTGATGCGGGACTCGATCCCAGGACTCCAGGATCATGACCTGAGCCGAAGGCAGTCGCTTAACCAACTGAGCCACCCAGGCGCCCCAGGATCCCCTATTTATTATTATTTTTTAAGTAGGCTCCAGGCCTAGCATGGAGTCCAACATGGGACTTGAACTCATGACCCTGAGATCAAGACTTGAGACCAAGAGTTGGATGCTCAATGGCCTGTGCCACCAGGCACCCCAATATGCTCCATGACCCTAATTTTGTTCATACAAATGTTCATACAAATGTTCCATGACCCTAATTTTGTATTACTATGTAATGATTCATCCGGATTGGTGTCTCACAACTCTTGCTGCACGTTGGAATCTCCTAGGGACCTTTATTTTTTTGTTTTTTTTTGGTTTTTTTTTTTGTTTTTTTAAGATTTTATTTATTTATTCATGAGAGACAGAGAGAGAGAGAGAGGCAGAGGGAGAAGCAGGCTCCCAAGGAGCAGGGAGCCCGACGTGGGACTCGATCCCAGGACCCTGGGATCATGACCTGAGCCGAAGGCAGATGCTTAACCATCTGAGCCACCCAGGCGCCGTCTCCTAGGGACCTTTAAAGAAATACCCAAACTTGAGGCTATCCCCAAGAGGCTTTAATATAACGGAGAGGGGGTAGAGCCCAGATATGGGTGTTTTATAAATCTCCCCTCCTGGATCCAGTGTGCAGTCAGAGGACGTACCATAATTTCCTTGACCATTGCTTCGATGTTGGGCATGTGCATTGGGGTTTTACTATTCATAACCAGTAGCAATGATGGTAACAGCAAACACTGAGTGAGCACTGAGCCCTTTGCACTCATGACGTCACGGAAACTTATGAGTACCCTGCAAAGCAGGTGCTGGTGTTTTCCTCATTTTACAGTTGAGGACAGGGAGGCTCAGAGAGGTTAAGTGACAGTGACCGAGTGGGGATTTGCACCCAGGCCTAACTCCAAAGTTTGTCCTGCCTCGGGAACGGGAAAAGGAGGCAGAAGTGAGAGAAGTGCAGTGCGGGGTGTTCTGGGGCCTAAGTGGGAACATGAGGTCGTGGGAATCCCAAGCCCCTCCACCCAGTGCTCTGCCTACCCCGTCCCTTTTTGGGCTCTAAGCCTCAGCCTCTGCCTCTTCCCCAGATCCCATCCCCTCCTGAGCACCTCTGCTCCCACCACACCCCTCTGCCTCCCTGGTCCCCTCTGGGGCTCTGAGCTCCCCCTAACCCCTGGCTCTGCTTACCCCTCTGCAGATATGCAGACCCTGCGCACGGCCCAGGCAGCACTAGGCAAAGGCTGCTTGGCCAGCTCCTTCATCTGTGTGTACCTGTTCACCGGAGAGCTGTACCCCACAGAGATCAGGTGGGTGCATGGGGGGATGCAGAGCAGCACCTGCCCCAACCTGGGAGGCCCTGGAGCTCCAGGATGACACCTGCTGAGCTTGCTGAAGCAGGACCCCTTCTCCTTTCTGTCTGCCCCCTGACACCCAGGGCCTGGCACTCCCAGTCCTCTAGGCAGCCTGGGCCATGGCCACTGACCAGTCCGCACTTTTTAGGCAGATGGGGATGGGCTTTGCCTCGGTCAATGCCCGCTTTGGGGGTCTGGTTGCGCCCCTGGTCACCACACTCGGGGAGTTCAGCGCCATCCTGCCCCCCATGGGCTTTGGGGCCACTTTGATCCTGGCTGGGCTGGCTGTCTGCTTCCTGGCTGAGACCCGCAACGCGCCCCTGGTGGAGACCATCGAGGCCATGGAGAGGAGGTAAGGAGCCTCTGGGCATGGTGGGGGGGGGATGGGGGGGATGGCCAAACAGGCTGCAGGTGAAATAACTCAGGGTCTTCCCACTGCTCTTCCAATGTCATGGCTGGTGGGTGGGAGCCGTGTTGGGAAGACCAGCCTTGCCTACCCACCTTTGTCTAAGAGGCTTGGCTTTCATCAAGGACAGACCCAACAATGAATGGTGAAATAGAATGAAGAATAAACTGGAGACCAGGCAAAACAGGAACATGAGCTGAGGTCAAGCCTGGCAGAGAAGTGGGGATAACGGTTTGTGGGGAAGAGAGGTGCCATGTTCTGAAGCAAAGACAGGCCCGTGTGGCTGCCATGGTGGCCTTCAAATTTGGCCCAGAGCTTCCTGGCAAAAGAAAGGGAGACCCTGTTACTGACTTTCGTCATATTGTCCAAGAGAAAAGGGGCTACCAGTTATCTGGGAAAAGTGAAACTTTCCTCAACAATTAGCACTAGAAGAAATTTCTCTCATGGATCTCCTTAGGGAGGTCACTGAGTAAGGTGATGTCCTTGATGATGTTTCTAAAAGTGCCAGGTGGACTTGTTGCATTTCTCAGCAACAGTGGGGCCACTGAAGACCCTTGGTTGTGGGGAATGGGGCCGGGGAAGGGAACAGGGCCCAAGTCTGTAGCTTTCTCTGAGTCCAGCTTGATTCCACAGCTGGAACCATCCCTCCAGAGACCTGTGAGGTGGACTGTGTTTGAAATCCTTAAAATAATCCCCCATGAGCATCCTACATCTAACCTGAGCCATGGACTAAGGCTGGACTCACATAGATCAAGGACAGGACACTTGCCTTTGGCAAGTCCTGTCAATTCTGCCTCCAAAATATATTTAGAATCTGTCCCTCTCTGTCACCCCTGTGACCATCCCCCTCCGAGTCTGGACAGCTCTAAAAGCCTCGTATCTTCCCCTGTCCCTTCCACTTTATTCTTTATACAGCAACTAGTGTGAAAGGCTTGCCATGTAAGGAATCACATCACTCTTCCTTGTAACCCTTCCCTGGCACCCTTTTATGTTGAAGATAAAATATGAAATCTCACAAGCTCCCAGGATCTGGCTCCTGCCAACACCAAGGCTGCTCTTTCTGTCTGGAATGTTCCTCTCTTTGCTCTCTGCCTGTTTAATTCCCATTCATGCCACAGGTATAGGTCTAGACACCCCAGATGCTGGGTTAGTATTTGTCAATAACCCAATCCAGAGCCTGTTTGCAGGTGCTCTGAGATGTTGCCTGAGGGACCCAAGTACATGAAGAGACAACTGGAGGAGTGGCCCCCCCAATATTACTGTAATGGTTCTGGCCTGGGCATTTTTATTTATTTATTCATTTAAATATTTTATTTATTTTTTTGACAGAGAGAGAGATAGCGAGAGTAGGAACACAAGCAGGGGGAGTGGGAGAGGGAGAAGCAGGCTTCCCGTGGAACAGGGAGCCCAATGCGGGGCTCAATCCCAGGACCCTGGGATCCTGACCTGAGCCGAAGGCAGATGCTTAATGACTGAGCCACCCAGGCGCCCCTGGCCTGGACATTTTTAAAGTCACATTTTGCTTACCCTAGCTATAGAAAAACCCAGCAATGCCAAATGAAATTCGAGTTTTGGGTAACAGAGCTTCGTTTGATCCTGCCAGGAACATTTATTATAAAGCTACTGTATGTTGTTACAGATGTGAACCAATTACATGATGGAGGCCATTTACTAAAAATAATTATTTAATTTAATTTAATTTAATTTAATTTATTGAGAGAGAGAAAGTGCATGGGGAGAGGGAGAGAGAGAATCTCAAGCAGACTCCACGCCCAGCACAGAGCCAGACATGGGGCTCAATCCCACAACTTTGAGATCATGACCTGAGCCGAAATCAAGAGTCCAATGCTTAACCGACTGAGCCACCCAGGCGCCCCTAAAATTAATTTTATTTTTTAAATTGTTGAGGGGCACCTGGGTGGCTCAGTCAGTTAAGTGTCTGCCTTCCGCCCAAGTTCATGATCCCAGGGTCCTGGGATCAAGTCCCACATCGGGCTCCCTACTCAGTGGGGAGCCTGCTTCTCCCTCTGCCTGCTGCTCCCCCTGCTGTGCTCTCTCTCTCTGTCAAATAAGTAAATAAAATCTTTAAAATAAAATAAAATAAAATAGTTGGGAACAAGCCATTCTTTCCCACAACAATTTGCTGATTGGATCTGACCTAGCTGGTCCTGTCAGGAGTCCATTCATCCCCGGGAGTGTGGAAGAGCTTGCACACCCTGGGAAACTAACCAATATCCAAAATGCAGGAAGCTCTCCGAAGCTGCACAATGTTGCAGAGTAGTCCCAGATTTTGCATTGCTTTTATCGTTTATTCTTTAAATTATGTATGTGTGAGGGCATCTGCCTCCGTGTCTGTGTATTGAGTGTGGTCTGGGGCAATCTCAAACTTACACTCTTTGTCTGAACCCTGGGAGAGAAAGTTGTTGAGACATCTCTGCCAAATATTCTAACGTGTAATTCTCTCCAACAAGGATGTTCTGTTACACAACCTCAGTAGAACCATCACAGTTAGAAAGCTAATATTGATATATGATTTCCATTTAATCCTCTGGCCTCATTCAAGTTCTGCCAGTCTTTCCCACCCCCACCCCTGCCCCACCACCAACATCCCATAAAGCAAGAGGATCCGGTTCAGAATCACAAGTGACATTTAGATGTTGCATTTCGTTCAGGCTGGACTAGATCCTCGGGTGTTCTCAGACTCTCTTGACTCCAACAGTTATACAATGTTTTATAACAGCAAGGACAGGGATGAGTCCACAGAGCACACTTATATAAGGCTTTCAGGAGATGAAGGATGCAATACAGTTAGGAGGAAGAAAATGCAGGCAATCATCAGGAAGGCCCAGGGCACCCAGGTGCACCGCCTGGGGGTCCTCTCTGCCCTCTCTTTGGTCTCTCTCACGGGCTGTCAGCATGAAAGGGAGATACCTCAATCTCGGGGAAGCCTAGGCACACGTCTGCCAAGGGGTTTTTTTTGGTATCCCGTTGGTCACAGCTAAAATCGGTTTGTAGAGCCAGGTAAACCAATTGCAGACCATAAATCCATAATTTTCTTTTAAAGATTTTATTTATTTATTTGACAGAGAGAGACACAGCGAGAGAGAGAACACAAGCAGGGGGAGTGGGAGAGGGAGAAACAGGCTTCCAGCCGAGCGGGGAGCCCGATGAGGGGCTCGAACCCAGGACCCCGGGATCATGACCTGAGCCGAAGGCAGACGCTTAACGACTGAGCCACCCAGGCGCCCCAATCCATAATTTTCAACAAACAATATTAGACAAGCTGGGAGAGGCTGTCTCCAGAGGGAGAGTCACACTTTGACAGCCCATGAAAAATTACTGGCTAGTCCATATCATCCTTGCTGTGGTTGATGGGCAGTGTCTTGGCTCCAGATGTCTTTGAAGATGCACGCGGAGCTGCCACAGACTAGCTGTGAGCTAACAATGACCTTGACTGCTTGAAGATGGAGACCAGTTATTCTGTAGATTTCTCCCTGGTTTGGGGTTTTCTGATGTTACAGGTTGTAGCTCACGCATCTCTGGCAATGTTATCACAAATGTGAGGCCTGATTCTGCTCGTTGTATCCCATCAGCTGGTGCACGATTTTGGTTTGTCCTGTGATTGATGATGTTCCCCTTGATCCCTTAATTAAGGAGGTACCTGCCAGGCCCTCTGCACTGTAAAGTTAATTCTTTTCCCCTTTGTAATTAACAAGCCTTTTGTGGTGAAGTACTTTATACTATGTAAGTATTCCATTCCTGATCAAACTTTCAATTTATTATGTATGTATTTGTATCATTATGGATTTATAAATCCTTATTTTTTTTAAAGATTATTTTTATTTATTTATTCATTCGAGACACAGAGATACAGAGAGAGAGAGAGAGAACATGAGCAAAGGGAGAAGCAGAGGGAGGGGGAGAAGCAGGCCCCCCACTGAGCAGGGAGCCCGATGCGGGGCTTGATCCCAGGACCCTGGGATCATGACCTGAGCCGAAGGCAGACGCTTAACCCTCTGAGCCACCCAGGCGCCCCAATCCTTATTTTTCAATGTATTATACCCTGTTTATTTTGATGCTCAATTTGTCCTAAATTTGGGCAGTATGAACCTTTTGACTTCTGTGTTCTTTCAAAATTCTTTAAGCATGTCATTGTTTCCTGGATAGCCTAGGAAATGAGTTTCCCCATAACTGTCTTGGCAGCAGCCATTTCTCTGAGTGTCTTAGCTCATTTTAGTAGAGAATAGTATTTAGAAGCCAAGATCCTTGGTGCACCTGGGTGGCTCAGTCGATTAAGCATCTGCCTCTTGATTTTGGCTCAGGTCATGGTCTCAGGGTTGTGAGATTGGCCCCCCATTGGGCTCAGCAGAGAGTCTGCTTGAGATTCTCTCTCTCCCTCTGCCTCTCCCCCACCTCTCTCTCTCTCTCTCTCTCTAAAATAAATAAATAAATCTTAAAAAAAAAAAAGCCAAGATCCAGGTGTGAGGGGCTCATTATTATGGGGTTTTTCTGCTCTCAAGCCTCCCAGCGAACAGAGATAGGGAATATATGAATATACATATAGGTACAGAGACCCGTACATCTTTTTTTCTGTATCTGTAGATCATACTGAAAACCATGAGTCACACCATTACCTCCAACACCACCCACCACCAGGTTTATACCAGTTTGCTCCCTTTTCATATTTAACTCCCTTCTCTGACAATGAGAAATCTGCCTTCCCTCAGCCTTAACGTATTTGCCTATTTGATCAATCCCCCAGCATGTAACTCATCCCTCTCCTTCACAGACCCCTCCACACCCCACCTAGGCTCCAAAACCCCATGCCGGGACAGCCCTCCATGTCAACACCTCCCTTGCTCTGCCCCACGTAATGGCTTTAAGATGGGTTGTTCAGGAAGAGAAGGGAAGAAAAGTTTTCCATATATTTTTGATGACACAGGTTG